AGGGCTGGGGGGGCGGTGAAGAGGGGTGGGGGCGGGGGCTGTTGTGCTCTGAAGAACTGCTGAAACCTGTAGGTGAATTTTGAATGTAGAGCAGAAGTGTGTGTGCTCAAGACTTCCTGCAGGTAGCCCTCCAGACGGCGAATGACTCAAAACGCAGCGTAGCCCTTGTGGTGACACTTTTATGTTACTTGGCCTTTGAGCATTACCTTATTCTCGGTAACTATCAAGAGCATCTCTCACCCAGATTTGAGGGGGACGCAGAACCGATGCTGTTTAGGTAAGTGTTAAGGTTCAGATAGCCCCACCCCCTCACCAACAGGGTCTCATGGACTTCTCATGCTTCTGAGAAAAGGGAAAAGAGCTGAGCTCCCTGGTCTTTGAAGTCAAGAGAAGCAGACTTTTCTCTACTGTTTGGCCAACACAGCAGGCTTCCCCTTTGATCTCTAAAGAGAACAGGTTTTAACAGTCCCATTCTCCCCCTCTCCCCTCCCCCAACTTAAAAAAAAAAATACAACTTCCCGCTTCTGTAGGAAGTAGAAGCCTCCCTTTTTGAAAGACCCCAGCTCACTACCCAGGCAGACATTTTCCCTGCCCGGAACGGAAACTATCCCATGTGTTCCTTTGTTAAACTCTGCTTTCTCCTGATCAACCTTATTCGCCATATGGCTACTTTTTTATCAGGTAGCCCTCCTGCTATGGCGTGCACCAATAACCACGATCAGAGCCATTCTCCAGAGCCGGTGGTGCGCTGAGCTGTGTGGTCACTCAGTGGCAAAAGCTGGTCTGGAAACCCAGCCATCCTGATCCCGAGGCCCCTTGGAACACTGTGCCCGGGTTTTTCCTTAGAATGTGTGTGAAAGTGCATCTTGCCCCTTCTGAAAAGTTCAGAGTCCCTAGCAACGCCTATGTTATAGGACTTTGATAGTTGGTGTTAGATAAAAGCTGGGCTGGGACTAGCCACAGAAAACATAGGGACTCCAGCAAAGCAAAGTTTCTTTCTTAGGATTGCTGGTGGCGGGCAGCTCAGCTGGGGAGAGAAAGGCAACCAGCCGCCTCCTGACTGCTGAGGAAGTTCTTATTAGGGGGGCTGGGGAATGTGGAAGGTGGCAAAAATAAACTTTACGGTTTCAAGGGAAGAAGCTTGAACTGAGACAGCTCTTAACCTCTGTGGGTCTGGGTGCAGGGGCCTGTTTATTTTCCAAAATTATCTGGGGAACAGCTTTGTGCTGAGACAGCTCTAAATGTTGCTGCCTGGCCGGCTCCTGTTTTGCAAGGGGGCCCTCATGGCCTGTCTTGTGAGGCTTTATTGAACTGGGGGGTCCTCTGCAGACCTGGACTCTAACAATTGGAATGAAAGTTAAAAGGAAAGCGGTTAAACCACACAAAAGGAGCGTTGTACCGATCAGATTTCCTAAGCCTGCAAAGCCATGACGGTCTATGGGAAAGAGCTGGGGTTCAGACTCCCCAGCAACGCCTGTTACAGGCTCTTTAAAATGTCGAACGCGGGCGACCCCTGGTGGTACCGGTAAGTCATTTCAAGTAGCATAATCCCTAAATCGTAAAATTTCCTCCCAAGGCCCATTTCTGTCTGCCTAAAAGTCAGTCATATTCCCTGTTCTCATGCCTCGAAACACCACTAAAAATCCAAACTCTATAAGTTAATAATCTGTCCTCTTGGAAGAACTTTACTTTTTTATGTTTGGTGTTGCTTTTGTCTCCCTATTACATAAACAGAAATGCTTTCTTCCATGATGACCTTTTATCTAAGCTGTTTCTTTCTGCCTCCCCTTCACTTACAACCAGAGCAATCGTGCTCTCATAGGAATTTGTATTGGGGCACTTCTGGACTTTTGTTTGAAAAAATAGTTCCATGGCAACAAAAATTTTGGACTAGATTACTGTGCTAGTCTTCTCATCTCCAAGATTACAAAATTCTACTAAAGGATTCCCACTCTTAGAACTTCTGTGAACACCACTTTACTGCCTAAAGAATTGAATGGGACTTGCCTACACATGTTTTCTTACATCAGTGTGAACCACTGTTCTTTAAGAATCACCACACCTCACAGTCAGTTCTTAAGAAACATCTTCCAGAGCCAAGCTGAAGTATTCCTGCTCCTCTTCTCACCCCTGAGGGGATGGTGAGGTGTGCAGAGGCCTCCTTTGTCCTTAGCCTGTTATTCCCATAGTCAAGGAAGGAAGAGCCCCTTCAGAGTGCTGAACATCATGAATCTCTGACCTTACTTTCCAGTACCTTCCAGTGTTTCCTCCAAGAGCCTGTTTTATAACAAATCTCCACATCCCCACAGAGCAACTGCCCCTGTGCCCTCTTGAGCAGCCTCCACACTGGGGACACAAAATCCAGCTCTCACTTCAAAGCATATAAGAGAGAGTTTATTCTGGAGCCACTCTGGCCTGGGAACACTGATTCAGGTTATCCTAATTCCATATTCCAACATGGTAACAGTTTCATGAAGTTTTTGAAACAACAGGACAAAGAAAGCTATAAATCAAGATACTTTTCAAATACATTGGTAGAGACATTAGAGAGGTGAGTTATAACAAAGCGAGAGAATTCTGCTTTAAGCCTTAGATGTTTTCTGACAGGCTTCTTTGCCCTTGGTTTGGTGGAAGCTGGTGGTCTGCTAAATTAATACATTCTACAGACACAGAAGTGGGCAAGGAATGGCTGTTAAGAGACTAAGGATGACCCAAGATAAATGGTAATTAGGCTCTGCACCTGCAACATTCTAAACTCTGCAGTCACTGAAGTTTTAATCAGTTGATTAGCCTTGCAGAAGGTCCTATTTGAAGATGCAGTTTTCTTCTGGGAACTTTGGTTCACAACACCGAGCATGCCCTTTTCCTCCTCCAAAGCTTCATTTAAAAGTAGTTCAATGTGCTCACTTCGGCAACACAGACACTAAAATTCAAACAGCACAAAGAACATTAACATGGCCCCTATGCAGGATGAAATGCTCCATATTGGCATAAAATTGCCAAAGAAGAAAATTAATAAAATTTATATAAAGATAAATAAAAGAAGAGGACATGAAGGTAGG